AATCTATAGTTATACAATACGCATACCACGGTGGGCCCTATTGAATCTGTGCAAATACGGGACTAACCCTGATAGTCAAATACTAAAATCTCAGGTACACTGGGCGGCAAGTCTCTTTACTGTTCTGTTTCTCGTGTAGTTAAAAATCCGAAAAATTTATCGGAATAAGTAAATATATGCCTGCTAAATCGGTTCGTGCACTTGCTACTCTAAAGTTTCAGTCAGAGTCATTATCTTCATTTAAAAACAACAAGCATGTCGATAGAACTCTAGGGTATTATTATTACATGAGAACTCGACCTGCCTTATCAAAAGAATGTCTGTACTGCAAAGGTGCAACGAACGCACCAGATATTGAGCCACAGTAAGTTTATGTATGTACATATGAATCATTGAAATATTGATAGACTCTGATTGTATACTGTCTGGCTTGTTATATATGTGCATGTTTGTAAACTGTCAGCATGACATTATCAGTTACCTATGTAGAAAATTATTCACAGATGATTTACAAACATATTGATGCCTATGTACACACAATTACTGAAATAGAGCCTGGTTAAAAACGACGGAATGTAACACCGTGGGAACGAAATACGGAAATTATTCTGTATTATTATTATTATTATTATCAGGTACATGTTTGATTGCAGGCATAAATATGTCATATAGCCTACTGCTGCTCACGAAGCAGCAGTATAAATGGCTCATATTAGGTCTCATGCTTGTTTAGTGTAGGTGCCTTGCACGCATGAGTTCCACATCCTTGTGTAAAACCGGCTGCGTAATACATTCAGCATGTCGGCGTGCTCAAACAAGAAAGATGGTCAGGGAAAAATTGTGGATTTACTCATGACAGTAGATGACACAATGCTAACAGAGTGTATGCACACATGTACGCACGCACACACGCGCGTGCACGTGCACACGCGCGCACACACACACACACACACGACCACGAGCACACACACACACGCACGTACACACGCACGCACGCACGCATACACAATCTGGAAAAATCCAGCTATAGTATATGTTAAGGAATTATTTCTCATATGGCAGTATATTTATTCGTGGCTAGCCTCTCTAATTCATTCGGGCTATAGCTGCCTGCACTTAATCTGAGCAACTAAGGAAGTCTACAGCTACAATACTTACTGTTGCGTGTGATCCCAGCAGAACTGGAGCTATGGGAAGCACTCTTGAATAATGTGGCTAGGCTCATTTTCCCTAAACAAAGAAACCATCACACCTGCATTAAATTCTAATGATGAACATTGCCACAGGGTGCGAAATTAACGTGAGTCCGGAGTCAAGTACTCCCTCATTTACTGTCGGACTCCCTGATTTGACATATGCAGGAGTCCGTGTGACTCCCTGAAATTCTGCCATACTAACTAGTTCGTTCTGGAGCACGGCCTCGCGGAAAAACTGTATTTGTTCAGCTAATGTCCAAAGAAAATTTGGCAGGCGTGAAACTGCATGAATCTCAAAAATAAGCACATGCGTTATTGTTAATATCTTTAATTTTGAACCTCAGACTGCGGACTCCCTCATTTTACTGCGGACTCCCTCTTTTTGAGGGTAGGGAGTCCGTTGGACTCCCTTGTTCAAAAGTTAATTTCTACCCCTGCTGCCAGCTCTTATCCCTAATTTATTTGGCCCTGCAAATCTCTTTATAAGTTAATTTTACGATTTTGTGTTAAAGTTATTCATGCGGAAATACATTTTTAAAGCAAAATTGTTGCAAAGCCAACATATAATATCAAAAGCCTATAAACAAAGAGCATATCAAGAGTATATATATATATGCATGTATGCTAAATAAATTAGAAGTGCAAGGTATGATTAAAACGTTTAGTGGCAACTGTCACTACTACTGATAGTAGGTATTCTTATCGCAAATATCACTTACAATTTACAAGGTAATATGTACAGTAGAGAAGTTTATAATATAGGAGTTTTACACACAGTCTAGAAGGAAATACCTAAACAACTTAGTTACTAGCTCAGGTCAATTGGAAACAGCAATGATACTACAAACTATGCATCTTGGCACAATGCCATTCCCTAAGGCACCAACGCATCTGACCACTACAGCATGCTTGATTAGTTGGTACGAAAACTTTGTGCCACTTTCCAGAGAGAACTTTCGCTGTAATGGCTTTATGACCATTCCAGTTGAAAATAGGTTTTAGGTCACCACTCTACTTCTAGATGGAATCTACCTGGGTTAAACCTGATGACAATGTTATATGAACACATTTGCTGGTTTTGAAAATGGCTACAATTGATGAGAGATAAAGGTGAATGATGGCAAGAATAGATGTGAATAAAATGCAATAGCACTGCAGTATAATGTCTTTGCTGGTCATGCTCGTATATGTATATATATGCTAGGGTAAGTATATCTGATGCTTACACATGCCACCTATTCACAAGCAGTACTTACATCCCACCGCACAATTAGCACAAACCAACACATTAACTTTGATTGTTATGAGATTGGTGGATTAAATTTTACCGGAATATAGGCATTAGGCTTAGGCGAACAAGCTCATAATATACAGGCTTTTACAGGTAATAACAGTAAAGGATACTAAATTCAAGAGAAAAATGAAAAAATATGCAACACCACTATGCACTTTATGCCAGTGATCATGCAACTAGAAAAAATAAGTATTTATCTCACAATCAGTGAACTTTTAAAATACTACAAAGCTAGCATTGCCAATGTTTGCTCTTCAGATAGCATTAGGCCAAAACAAAATATGTGTGGTTACCGTTTCATGCCGAAAAAAATAGGGTAGGTAGGTAGGGAAAACATTTTATTTTATTGAAAGAAAATTTATTTATTTATTTACTTTAAAGAAAATTGACAATAAATCGTTTAGGGTCGCTGGGAATAAATAGAGTCGGTCGGGAAACGGTAACCACACCTATATTTTGTTTTGGCCTTAGCTACCTGCATGGTTGTAAAATGTTGAAGAAGAGGGAGAGGCTACATATTTTCTTATCAACAAGCTTTATAGGTATCAAATGGGAATTTGTGATGCCAGTACAATACTTCAAGATATATACAGTGTGAAATAACTTAGAAGTTAGATCAGGTTCAATACAATAGAAAGACAACTTTCAACAAAAAGAATGTCATGGTTAATAATAAAACTTGGGGGCACTCCCTATATATTGCATGGTAGGTATGCGCCACGGTTATGACACCCCTTTTCACCTCAAAATTTCCACACTGGAGAGTCCGAGACCCTTCTGTTCACATATTTCCCGTCCCGGAGCATAGTTCCTACTTTTTTCGAGAGTCCGAGACCCTTCTGTTCACATATTTCCCGTCCCGGAGCATAGTTCCTACTTTTTTCAGCACATTCCAGAGATCCCCCTTTTCACATATTTCCCGTCCCGGCGAATAGGTCCTACTTTTTTCCGCACTCCGAGACCCTTCTGTTCACATATTTCCCGTCCCGGAGCATAGCGCACGTTCCAGAGATCCCCCTCTCATTAGCTCTAGAACTATAGCCCTGTGGCAGAGCGAAGGGCTTGCTATCCTCTCGCAAACATGTCCAGTTCCGGAGTATCATGCTTTCCAGCCAAAACTAGGTTCCGGAGACCCCCATTTGAAGCTGCGCTGAGTAATTAGTACGAGAGCCCAAATTCCATGTCTCAAAGTCGCACACTACTACGCGATATTTTTAGTGTCATTAGCTGTGTCACCGGGAATAAAAATCTACCAATGCGCCCCTAGCTCTAGTACCTATAGCCCGCGATACACGTTGCCGCAGCTGCAACATGCCCCATGCCATGGGATAATATGTATCGGGAAAAACCAATAGATAATTGTAAAACACGAGCCTACCAACTTTTATAGGTAGCTGGAGGTGCAAGGCGTTCGCACACTAACACCGTACGAAATCGACCAACTCGGCAGAAATGCTTGGTTCCGGTGCATCAACCAGGAATAATAGATGCCGAAAAGAACTGGTCGTGTTAGAATTGGATAATATAGTACTCCGGCACATAGTATACATGAAACAGCATATTCACAACTATTCTGCCTTATAAGCACCATTTGTAAATACAAAACTGACACAATTGTCACAATGTGCAGTAGTAGATGCAGCAGACAAACCTTCCGGCAGACCGAAGTGTCCCGCCGCTACTGTACGTATAGTGTATTCTCCGCTGTAACCGCCGCCGTCGTCCCGGGCCAACCACAACCCATAACCCTAACCCTTATTTCTGGTGTTGGACTTTGGTTTTATGGTTTGTTGATGGTTTGACGCAGCGGCATACGTCCTTGCCGGGGAAATAATCACTTCGTAAAACAATACCTGTCAGTGTCAGGCCTACTACGTACGGCCACTAGTGGTTTTCCTCAGTTACTAGCCCGATGGTCTAGTGAAATAAAAAGTTAATGTTGAACCCTGAGATGGTTTGTTTAATGACGACTATGGCATGTAGACCAATAATGAATAAATTGTGCCCTAAGAATTGTTTAATATATTCTGATGTTATTTTAGGATAAATAACATCAGAATATAACAATTTGTAGGGCACAATTTATTGGTCTAATGGCATGCAGAATCCTGGCTACGGTAACAGAGGCAGTTACAAGTAAAGGTAACAGTATTCACCCAGCTCTCTATAGTGTCTTAGCTAGAATTCGGCATGAAGCACGATCAATCGATGTGGGATCATTGCCTGGACTCTTGAGTTACGAAAATAAACAAATCACAGTCACACTCGCAACACTTCTAATATTGTTGTCTAGGTTACGACACAGGTTGCAACCTTGGAGAGATGATATAATTTGTATAATGAACACTCTATTAGGCACTTAATTAATAGGGAATGCTTCACTAATCTAATAGCGTTATTAATTAGAATACTAACTTACCAATTATTTCAGCAACTCCCTCCACCAGTCGCCTTGCCCGTTGGGAGCGCCCCCTTTTGAGCGTAATTTAATAATAAACTATAAACGAGCATCAACGGGGATTTTCACAGTCGTATAAAAAAGTTTACGAGTAACTTATGAACGTGAAACTGAACTTGAAAACTCTACTAGTAGACTACACGATGCAAAGTATTAAGATTTCAGGCGCTATAATAACATTTTAGACGACCTTTCTGAATGGTTAGAATCACATACTTGACTTCGAGTTTCCCTGTTGGCTCTCATTATGGTGAGATGGCAGCAGCTATTCCAGTTGCTGTTGCGAGGTCTCCCTCAAAGTTTGATGATTATAGCGACGATGCAGTAGACCCCCGGGTAAAGGTGAGAGTAAAATGATGTTCGTTATACTTTCTAGTATATAGCACATGTAAAGCACAAGCAAATCGTTTCCGGTTACGCATGTTTTAGCGCTGTTCAGTCGATGTGCTATTCACTGCCACTGGGCTCCAGTTGCATTTGCCACGAACATGTCTTTGGCTGAGTGCGTTATCTTATCACGGCTAGTTTAGGGGCCTATACTCTATAGCTCCAAGAAATGGTATTGCTAGAGTTAGAATGTATAGACAATCCGTCGCACAGCCTGGTCGGGCTAGGCTAGCGTAGAGTCTGGTCGTGCTACGGGTGTTTGTGGTTACACACGTGGCACAGGTCACACAGTTCATGATGACTGGCATTGATTTATGATTTTCGATTTGGATTTCGGTAGACTTTGTTGTTCTTTACTAGTAAACACTGTGCGCTATTCACTTCAAATCTAGGAGGAACTGGAGAAGCTAAATGAGGCGACAGATGCCATCAATAAACTTGAGGTGGAGCTCGATGTAAGTGATACCGGTATATTACTATTAGCTCTCTGTCTTTTGTTTAATCTTGCTTATATTTCATTTCCAACATGATCGGTGATTAATCTGAAACTGCGAAAGCCATATTTAGTACCTAATGGGGGCCGGGGAAATGTGGTGGGAGATGAAAGTGGGACTGGGAGCAATTCTACTGGGCCCTTTTCTGCATGTAAAGTGTCAGTCAAATATCTTTGTACCCCTTCCATTGTAATGATTTCTTTCCTAGGCCTATATCAAATCTTTTTTTAGCAGTGGAGTTCTTGCACATCCCACGGCTACCCCTTGTTTGAAGTAGGATCTTTGTTTGAGTTTATGATTGTCTAATCTTCTAACATTTGGTGTGTGCAGGAGGCCAGAGCTGTGTTTCGTCAGGTTCTCACCGAGTCTACCCAACGGCTGAATATACTTGCCAAGAAGCTGGGAAGCTGCATCGAGAAAGGGCGTCCGTACTACGATGCGCGGCTGAAGGCGCGGCAGGTGTGTGTGTGTGGGCGAGTGAACACGCGTGTGTGCGCGTGTGACTACCACGAGCGCATGCAAACCCCCATCCCGTTTCAGTTGTGAGTTGAGGAACCACGGGCACATATGACCTAACCACGTACCCCCTTCCCCTCTTGTCTTGCTATGTCGATTCTGGGTCGCGAGATTGTACTTACGCAGTGTCTACACGTGACGTCTATCACTCGTGACTCTACAACGAGTGCTCACAAACCGCCGTCCCGTGTCAGTTGTGAGTTGAGGAATGTAGCCTGACGTAACACGGGCACAAGCGATCTAACCACGTACCATTTCCCCTACCTTGTGTCTCACTATGTCAATTCTGGGTCGCGAGACAACAGTACTACTGCCCCCGTGTCTCGCTATGTCGATGCTGGGTCGCGAGACTCAGGTACTCGCGCCGTCTCCGTACGATCCCCAGGTCCCTTCCCCTCGTGCCTCGCTATGTCGATGCTGAGTCGCGAGACTCAGGTACTCACACATTCTTCGTACGATCCCCAGGCTCAGGTCGAGACGCAAAAGGCGGCTGTCAAGTTTGAGCGCGCGAACAGCATGCACCGCGCCGCTGTCGAGATGGTGAATCTCGCGGAGCAGGGACTCGTCCGTCATGGCGGCAATTTCGACCCCACCTGGCAGGAGATGCTAAACCACGCCACACTGAAGGTGACGATGACGCGTGTGTGATGGTGATGGTTGTCGCGGCAATGATCGCGCGATGGCGGATGGTTGTCGTGGCAATGACCTCACGATGGCAGACGGTCGTCGCGGCAACGCTCGCTTGGTGGTGGATGGCTGTCGCGGCAATGAGCACGCAATGGCGGACTGTTGTCACGGCAACGATCGCGCAGTGGCGGACGGTTGTCGCAGCAACGGTCTCGCCTTACGTCATCTGTCGCGCATCACCGCCTCGAAACGGGACAGCGTCGGTGACAGTGTATATCGCCACGAAGCGTTAATGTTAGTCGCTACGTGGTGACATGACACAATGACGTTAGCAACAATCGTTGGTGACGTTGTTTGTAAGCGTGCGAGGTCTGATCGTTGGTCGTTGTGTGGCAATGCAATTACGTTAGCAACCGTCGGTCGCGAAATTATTTGTAAACCTGCATGGCCTGATCATCAGTCGTTGCATGGAAACACGACACAATTACGTTAGCTGCGGTTAGCACACAAGCACGTTATCAAACCATCGTCGGCACCGTCGGTCCGTAACGTGCGAGGTGTGGTCGTTGCAGGTGAACCAGGCAGAAGTTGATAAGATAAGCAGTGCGAGCGAGCACAGGTGCAAGTCGCACGCGTACAACGACGCCGAGCAGAACGTCAAGGAGCTGCAGCGGGAGTTGAAGCGATCGATTGCCAAGTCCAGGTGCGTCGCTCGCCCTCTTCTGCGCATTCTCGTCTAGGGCTGTGGCTGTAGATGGTTGTGTTTGTAGAGAAGAAATCCCCCTCTCTCCCGGAGCTAGGTCAGTGCGTTTGTATCACTAGAATTCGCTAGTATTTTGTTAGTTGTAGATGGGACTTTTAAAAAGAAATCGTGCAGCATGAGTCGAGCTGTGGCCGTATAAAAAATTTTCCTCCATGCTTTCCATTTCATGAATTATGAGATCAATGCTGCTATCATCTAGCATTGAAAGCATCCCTGGTGTTCTAGTGTGTCAGTTGATATAGCAATAACTAGTCAAGCATAGAAGAAGGCGGGGGAGTTTATGGAGAGCAGGATATATATGAGAAATTTAGAGGAGGGGAAAAAAAAGTAGAGCTATAGTAGATGATCACAGTGCCATATTGGAACATTTGAAAGCATCAATGTTGGAAAGCTTCAGGGATTCGTGGACGACGTACTGCACGTATTACGTACGCGCAGGCAGGTGCTCCTCATTTATTTCTCATGCAGAATGTGCATGGAGTTGATTTTTCATCGTGGTTGCATTTTCCGCAGCATGCAAACATAGAATGGATTCACTGAGTAGTATTGCAGTAGATGATGTTGTTAGCATGGCATATATTCAATGCAGTAGTTGTCAGTCAGAAACTAAATAGAAACAGGAGTAGAATTTCACTTCGAACTAATATCGAGATGGTTCATGGTTTATGCTGGTTGAAGAGAATAATATCTAGATGCCTTTTATGAGAACAGTCCAGCTGATTATTTCTGTCTCTTGAATGTGATAATGCCGTTCAATAATGCTAGTTTAGAGCACCAGTAGATAGATAAGCTGTAGTACCCACATATAGAAATGCATGTGAGGTGGATCTTTTGATACGGATCACACCAACTAGTGCATGTAATACATTGCTTCTAGTGTTTCATTTTTTTTAAATTATACAATCATGTATATATATATATATATATGTGTCACTGTGTGTTAGATGGTGCCTAGATGGCATATAAGGCAGTGACAAGAGATCTCCAACGTCGTCGGTCCGCTGCTACTGACCTCAGCGTGTCCCATATATATATAATATATATATATATATATATATATATATATAATATATATATATATATATATATATATATATAATATATATATATATATATATATATATATATATATATATAATATATATCATACATTCACAGCATTGTTTATTACTTACATCATCATTGCTGCTGAGGAACATCTATTGTAGTAATTTGTAGTGTAGTTACAGTAGAGTGGTAGCCTACCTGCTCACTTCATGATACCGTGTGAGTCTTCTCATATAACACACTAAAACTGCCCGTGAAACTGCATCAAAATTTACCCGTATATTTTCATGGCACTCATTTGCACTGATATCACTCATTGTATTTACGGTGTGTGAATAGAACCTTGTCATTTGAGGGGCAAATTCGGACATGGCAGGCATAATGATTAACATAGCAATGTAACAAATTGTAATTAATGAGTGAAACTTTTATTGTCAAGAAATTCATTGTTGATCAGTGTTGCAGTTGTCTGAGACGAAACTTTGATCTGCTACCATATTCTGTGTGTGACTTGACTAATCGCATGCAAAAGTGTAACTGTCTACATTGTTTTCATTTTATTCTTTAGTTTATCCACGCGCCGAAGCTTGTTGCAACTAAATAACTTAGCCAACTTGCACCGGTTACAATTGCTGTAAGTAGACTCTCGGTAACCATAAGCACCTATGCCCTATTCTCACTGGGAACTATTTTACACACTCTGAGTACTTTGGGTATCAGTGGTGACTGTAGGCATGCATGTTTCTGTAGTTTGATGGATTGGACTTGCACTGCATGCGTGGCACACGTAGCTCATAGGTTATGCGAGAGTACACTTTACTTGATGAATGTTGATAAGGTCACCACGCTTCATCTTCCATGTATAATTCAGGAACTCTTAGTTGAGAGTTGCACAAGGAATGACACCTGCATGTATCTACAAAAGTAACTGGTAGAGTTTGCGTGTAAGATGATTTGCTGTAAGCTATTTCACACTAGTCACTTATTTCATTTAGCACTGTCTAGTAGCCGAGGTTCTATCAGTGTAATAAGAAAATAATAATAATAATCACAGAAAGGTAATAAAGTGTCCAGTGAGATTAGTAGAGTAGTAGTGAGAGTAAAGTATCCCGAGTTAGTTATTGTCTATTCGAATTGAATGTGGCGTCTTCAGCAAATCACTACATCTGACACCATAGTAATCAGAATGGCAGTAAAAGTTCCACGCATTGTCTTGCTTCTGCGTCAGTCCGCTCTGTTTTCTGCGATTTGACTCTTGGCATTAGTAAGATGTATTTCGTATCATCTAACCCATGCATTGGTGCAATGTAGTTTTTGTCGTCCACCTTCTGCGTTAATACAGCATAGTTTGTCACATCTTAACTTTTCTTAACTTCTTTTCACATCGATGCTCTCCTGTCTGCTTCGTGTTGAACATGGCTGTATTCTTGCATGCCCCTTTAATTGATTCTAGCTCCTGGTTGGTTGCATTTGGAGCAGCAAGCGCCCTTAACATATGTTTGAGGTTCATTGAAAAGGAAGATGCATTTTAAGACATATGATATTACATTTGATTCTCCTATAGTGCATCTTCTGAACTAGCTCATCATAATGTGTAGAATGGTTCAGATGATTCGTATTTATAATGATAATTCACTCCACCCCGCCCAAATGGTAGATTTTGTTAGAATAACACATTAGCCGCAATTAGGTTGTAGTGTAGTAGAAGTAGGGTAGTAGCAGTAATAATAATAGTAGTAGTAGTATGTGTGCATTCCTGTTTTAGTGAATGTCATTATGTCAGGCACATCCCCATACACAGCTTGCTCCTCTAGTGCTTAATTTTATGTTGTCTCATGTGCATGGGTGGATGCGGCAAATGTCTTAAACATGTAATTACATTGCAGCTGTAACAAGCTTTGGCGTGTGTTTTGTGCTAACCATTGCAGGCTTGTGCACTTGCGCGCGACCACGTTGTTTGTCTTTATTAGGCACGCCCTATTAGTTCGGCATGTTAGTTCACTAATAGTTCACTATTAGTCGAGCGTATTCGAGAGCTGGTCGAGTGTGTCTATGCATTAGCTGTTCACTTGCTTTGCCCCTGCAAGTTCTGCTAACCCGGACGTGTCTACGCATCCTTTTGGTCTCTCGTCTCTCCACAGCAAGGCTTTCCTAATCCCAGCATGTCTGCTTCCTCTGATCTCTTGCTTCTCCCCTGCAATCCTTACCAACTCTAGTACGACCATGCATCCACTGATTCCTTACTTTGCCCGCAATCCTTACTAACTCTGGCACGTCCATGCATTCACTGATTCCTCACTTCCCTCGTGCAATCCTGCTAATTTGAACAATATTACAGTCTATTTCGAACTATTCTAACTTGAAAATGCTGATCCATGCATCCTTTGATCACTCCCTTCTCTCGTGCAAGTCATATTAACCCAGGTCTGTCTATGCATTTTCTCGCTTCTCCCCCACAATCCTTACTAACTCTAGCACGTCCATGCATCTCTTAATGTCTCGCCACTCTATACAACAAGTCCTGCTAACTCTAGCACGTCCATGCATCTACTGATCTCTCGCTCTCGCTCGCCCCCGCAAGCCGTACTTTTGAGATGAAGGCGAGCATGAACCTTTGTTCGCAGTCTGTACTAGCATGTCCATGCACCCACTAATTCCTCACTTCTGCCCCGCAGTCTGTACTGACTAGCGCGTCCATGCATCCACTAATCTCTCTCTCTCTCTCTGCCTCCGCGCCCGCAGGCCGTACTTTGAGATGAAGGCGAGCTTCAACAAGCTGCTGGAGGAGCAGCGTAACCGCGTGCGCGCCGTCGAGGCGAACGTCGCCGTCGTCAAGCAGCAGTACGCCGGCGCCCTTCACAGCCTCGAGGACATCAGCGAGGCGATCCACGAGCGACGCAAGCGACGCGACGACGTCGCCGCGCTCGGCGAACGCAGCGCCGGCGTCGGCTCCGAGACGCCGCCGCCGGCGCCCTCTGTCGAGGCGGCCGCGGCGACGGTGGCGCCCTCTGTCGCGGCGGAGACCACGCCCGGGTCGTCGCCCGAGGACGTGTTCGTGGCGGACGGCGACGACAAAGACGCGGGGTCGGCACCGAGGTCGCGGGAGGTGACGAGCGCCGATTCCACGCCGGGGTTGCCGGCGGGGTCAGGGTTTGTGCCGGGGTCGCCGGCGGGGTCAGGGTTTGTGCCGGGGTCGCCCGCGGGGTCAGGGTTCGCGCCGGGGTTGCCGGCGGGGTCAGGGTTTGTGCCGGGGTCGCCCGTGGGGTCAGGGTTTGCGCCGGGGTTGCCGGCGGCGGCTACAGAGCGGGGCTCCGGATGGGCGTCGACGCCAAAGTCGGGCGATAGGTCGCACACGCGGTCGGAGTCTCACTCTCCGACGCCGGCCGACGCTTCCAGTGGCTCCCCCTTGCGGCAGGCGTCCGCGTCGGCCGTACTCGAGAGCTCGACCTCCAGCTGCGACTTGTCGGGCGTCAGCGAGCGCAGCCGCCGCCGCTCGACGGTGACCTTTGACATTCGCACCGACCTGCGCAACATCCGGCAGGAGCTCGCCGATCTCGAGGAGGAGCTGTATCCCACCAGGGGGCGCCGGCGCGCGGTGAGCGTCTTCTGGGAGCCGAGCGAGCGGGTACCACCGGCGGCCGGGCAGAGGCTGCTGAGGCGGCGCGACACGATGACGAGTCCCGAGGAGGTGGCGCGCGAGCGAAGCCGGGAGGATGCGGCGGCCGTCGCCGCGGGATACGCGTCGCCATCGGGGTTGTCGCTGAACGCGCAGCTGCTCGAGGCGTGTGCGATCTCGGAGGCTGCGTGCGCGGGAGTCGCCGAGACGACGAGCGACTTCATGAAGCTGCCGCGATTCGTCGGCCGGCAGTCGTTGTCGGCGGAAAAGCTCAAAGGCTCGAAGGCTCACGGCCTCCTGCTGCGTCTCGCCTCCGACCCGGGCCAACCGGCCGCCTTCACCACGGACCACGCAAGATTACCGCCGGCCCGCGTCTCCGTTGTCGCGGCAACGAGCGATCGCCCGTCGTGCGACGGCAGGCGTCCCAGGGACGCGTCGACGACGGCGGCCGGGGACCGACACGAGAAGACGCTCACTTGTTCTGCGCCGCGGGAGGCGACTTCTGCCGTCGACGCGTCGAAGGGAAGGCGGAGCACGAGTGCGCCCCCTGGTGAGGAGAGCGAGCATGTTCAGCTGAGCGACAGAGTCACTTCTGATTGTGCGAGCGTAGCTAGCTGTGATGTTCTAGATGACCACCAGGTGGAGCATTGAGCTCGAGTAGCGGGTAAATGAAGCACTTTCTCATATACAGTCAAACCTCGGTTATCCGAACATCAATTATCCGAATTTTGGATTATCCGAACAAGATCTCAAGGTCCTGTGAATATTTAATAAGCCACTAGACCATCAGTTATCCGAACAATCGGTTATCCAAACAAAATAGTCCCCACCCATCTCGTTCGGATAGAGGTTTGACTGTACAGAGATTGGAAGTTAAGTGTAGTGATGTGCCTACAGCTTGCCACATGTCATTAACCTGTGAAGTGTCCACAATCAAAATTTATACGCGTGCGTTTTAGCGTGAATAGTTGTTTTAAACTGCAAGGACGCGTGGAAACGTTAAGATGTGTTATGAGATTTTTATTCGGTTTTATTTATAGTTTATATTGCTAAAAGTTATGAAATGGTCTATTGTGTTGCACCTGGTGGAAAAGCATTACTGAAAACATATATTAATTATATATTCTTTTTTTCAATTTTGGTTTATAAAGGTGTGAATGCACAATTTGCTTTGGTGATATATATATATTATAAATTTAATTTGTCACAGCTGTCACTCAATTCCTAGCATAATATCATATTTTACCCACCGTAACAATGGAATGTTGATATTTCCAATCTGAAGATATATTGATGATAAATTTTATTATGTGAATTTGCATAAAGATGTAATAATTATTTGTGAAGAACACATTATCTGCGAGAATCTGGGCAACCTGTTATGATAAATAAATAATTACAAAACACGTTCTTTTTTCTATGTTATTTAATTTATTTTATTCATTATATTTTTTAATTGAGCTAATTGTGTTTCATTGTTACTCATTGGACTTCATTTAATACATTGAAATTTATAATACAATTTCCAGATTACAGTTATTGATTACGAAGCAAAAATCCCACAGTTTGGAGTTCACTATGACAAATATACATAGATCACACTCGAAACAAATCTAGGCAATACTGCCACAAAAAAGTCGCGGAATGCTCGCTACGCTGCACATTCCAAACTTGGAGCGAAGTTGTAATTCTTGACTGATTGATACTTGGATCCATTTAGACAAAATCTGGACCTGAAAGAAATGATACATAATTACATGTGTAGCATATATGTTACCTGCATACGCGAAAGCCATTCATCTTATAATATGGCAGCACATTATTTATGTCGCTGCTATCTTCCCTGTTTGTGCCACTGCATCCCTTTACAATTGCGTAAATTAACGACGTGTCCTTTTCCATAATTTCTCATTAGGTTGGTAAGTGTGCAACGTTTATTGAACAGGGTGTGGTAGCACACCGTTCGCCCTAACTGCGATTTGTTACGATCGAGTGAGTAAAAGTACGAGGCAATTTATTGCTTCCTTGATGTGTGTCCATACCACTGTGGCAAACACGCACGAAACCGTCTGGCAACGAAGAAAGAAGTAGCAATTAAGCAAAGGCGGACAGTAGAATTTTTCAATGCTTACATGGTGTTGCTGTCGGTGGAGGTCACCTTGATGGTGTCGATGTGCAGGTACTTCTTGCCTATCCAGTTCGACGACTCCCATCGGAACTCTAACTGATTGAGTGCTTTCCAGTCCCTGTCCGTCTGCACCAGATATCTGTGCGTCTTTCCAGGAGTGAGCAAGTCGTAGCTTCCGACCCTGTACACGCGTTTGGAACGTCTGAGATTGAACACTTCTGATCTCAATGACGCTTAACCAATAGCGACAAATTGGCGCGTGATTGGCATGTCCTGGTTTACAGGGGTACGGAAATGGTAACTATTATTGGCAACCTCTAATGGTTACAAATTCGTCCTTCACTTCGGCGCTGGTCAATATCTGCGTGTAAAATAGCGGAGAGCCACGGCAAGTAATTCTATTGCTATCAGCTCTAGCCTGAAATCAATTTCTGCATGTTAATTAGTGGGGGCTACGGGAAGTAATTTTCTTAATTGCTAATAACTTTTGCCCGTGATCAATTCCTACTTATAAAATAGTTGGGGAGTGGGGAGCTACGGGAAGTAATTATCTTTCGTTACTAATATCCAATTCTGATAATAGATAGACCTAATTATAATCAATTCTACGTGTAAAATGGCGGAGGGCTAAGGGAAGTAGTTTCATTGCTAATAATTATTTGATTGATAATAACTCTTGCCTATGATCAATTACAATCTATACAATGGTGGATGGCTACCGTGAGTAATTCTCTTTCACTACAATTAACCCTTGCCTGTGATCGCCGAGGCCGTATTCCTCCGAGCTGCCGAGCTCATTTGTCACTCGCACGTACATGCGGCCCTCCTCTGGAATCGGGTTGTTTGATGCGATCGCCACCTCAAACTGAAGGTGATACACTGCGGAAGGAGATAGTTGTACGAGATCCTCAATCAACCAGAAAATTTCAACATGTGCGCGTTTCAATTGCGTGTATTATTTCAATATTGATCACTTATCGTATCAAGAGCGTTATCTTTCGTTGCCGCGTAGGCCTATTTCCATTAGCATTTGTTAACCAGTTGTTATTTCAATATTGATCACGTATCGTGGCAAGAGCGTTATCTTTCTTCGCCGTGTATTTCCATTAACATTTATGAACCAGTTGTTATTTCAATATTAATCAATATCGTGGCAAGAGCGTTATCTTTCTTCGCCGTGTATCTCCGTTAACATTGATTAACCAGTAGGAAGGTATTCGGCGTTCCTGTGCTTGACTCACAACAGAATGGGTTCTTGTCGCCTGTCGTGATGAACATGGCAACGTTCTTTCGCCCGCTGAGCAAGGACTTCGAGTCAACGGCGTGCATTCCAATCCGCGCACTCGTCTTCGGGTTGCTCGTATCGCATTCCCCAGCCTTATATTGACACCAGTATAATACACAAGGTCAGTGACACTCTTCCGCCTAGTTACGACAGTGTTTCTTAACGCTAGTATGAATGCAAAACACATAAATGATAAAAACAATAATGAAATGAAATAATCGCTTGACGATAGTCGTGGTTTAGCCGCAAGTATGATAAGAATCAGTGTTGTGCATCTACACTAGAAACGTTTGTACTGCCATGCGATGGGCAAAATTAATAATACAAGTGGCTGATGTTCTCGCTATGTTCACCTCTAGCTGCTCCTGGCTTTCGCACTCAAACGCCCTGTAGGGACATGTGCTGCGTATAGAGTCAATGAACAGATCGTGAGCGCGCCTGTGGTTACAGTGCACGTACTCGTTCCAGCCTGTGCAAGAAACGAAATAAGATTTTAGAGGTTTACTGATGGAATGTTATCATTTAAATCTATGCTAGAAAAACTCTTCGTTTCAACTGCATAATATAGTATGCTGCGAGAAAGAGAGAGAGAGAGAGAACGCGGTGGGAGCCCGAGGAAAGGCGACAGAGAAGATAGCTGAGGGCGTTATAGAAGGAGAAGGGAGCTGAGCGAGGGAGAAAGGAGGCAATGGAAAGGACGGGAGGGGATAAAGTAGGAGTTTTGCACCCTACAGGATAGGGCGCTCTCCTAAGTATAAACACCGGTCTACTGCATGATAGGAATTTATTACATAAATCTATACTCAGATAGCCCCTAACCATATTAAATACATATTCATGACAAAATATAACTCCTCTGGTGAGATATTGCAGTACGGTCTTATGAAAACTGCATAATATAGCTTGCTAAGAGAGAGGGTGGGAGACTGAGGAAATGCGACAGAGAAGATAGCTGAGGGCGGTGGAAGAAGAATGAGGCTGAGCGAGGGAAAAGGGAGCCAATGAGAAGGATGGGAGGGGATGAGTTTTGCACCCTACATACTAGGGCGCTTTCCTGATTATTAACACAGGTATACTGATAAGAATTTATTGCATAAATCCATACTCAGATAGCCCCTGACCATATTAAATGCATATTAGTCACAAAATATAACTCCTCTGGTAAGATATTGCGCATGCGCCAATACACTAACGTAGCCAGATTGTGTACTGACTGGTATATGCAACCGGCACCCTGCAGGCTAGGGCGCTTTCCTGATTATTAACACAGGTTTACCGATAAGAATTTATTACATAAAACTATACTCAGATAGCCCCTAACTATATTAAATGCATATTAATCACAAAATATAACTTCTCTGGTAAGATATTGCGCATGCGCTAATACACTAACGTAGCCAGATTGTGTACTGACTGGTATATGCAGCGAACACCTTACGTGAAAATTCTTCTTTCCATTTTCTAAGAGAGGTCTACAGATAGAATATTATGATAAATATCTATGCTAGAATACCTTCTATCCATTTTAAATGCATAATTTTCGCAAAATATTCTTCTTCTCGGGAGATATTGCTCATGAACGAGCACCGTTTCAGGCCTTCAGGACGGACTGAAGAAAACTGCATAATATAGCTTGCTAACAGAGAGAAGTGGGAGACTGAGGAAATGCGGCAAGAAAGATAGCTGAAGGGCGGTAGATAACAAAACAGGCTGAGCGAGGATCATGGGAGGTCAAGGGGAAGGACAGGGGTGGGTCAAGTAGCAGTTTTGCACCCTACAAGTAAGGGCGCTCTCCTAATTATAAACACAGATCTACTGATAAAAATTAATTACATAAATCTATGCTGAGATACCCCCTAACCATATTAAATGTATATTCTTCACAAAATATCATTCTTCTGGTGAGATATTTCGCATGCGCTTACATACTAACGTAGCCAGATTGTGAACTGACTGGTATATGCAGCGGGCACCTTACATGCAAGATCTTCGTCCTATTTCTTAAGAGAGGTCTACTGATAAAATGTTATCATATAAATCTATGCTAGAATAGCTCTTCTCGATATTAAATGTAAATGTTTCGCAAAATTTTATTCTTCTCGGAAGATATTGCGCATGCGCGAGCGCCGTTTCAGCAGTGCAGTACGGACTGAAGGCAAGTGCATAATATAGGTTGCTAAGGGAGAGAGTGGTGGGAGACTGAGGAAAGGCGGCAGCGAAGATAGCTGAGGGGCGGTAGAAGGACGGGAGTGGATGAAGTAGCAGTTTTGCACCCTACAAGCTAGGGCGCTCTCCTAATTATAAACACAGATCTACTGATAAAAATTAATTACATAAATCTATGCTGAGATACCCCCTAACCATATTAAATGTATATTCTTCACAAAATATAATTCTTCTGGTGAGATATTTCGCATGCGCTTACATACTAACGTAGCCAGATTGTGAACTGACTGGCATATGCAGCCGGCACCCTACAGGCTAGGGCGCTTTCCTGATTATTAACACAGGTTTACTGATAGAAATTTATTACATAAATCTATACTCAGATAGCCCCTAACCATATTAAATGCATATTAGTCACAAAATATAATTCCTCTGATGAGATATTGCGCATGCGCTAATACACTAACCTAGCCAGATTGTGTACTGATTGGTATATGCAGCGGACACCTTACGTGCAAGTTCTTCTTTCCCTTTCTGAAAGGTCTACTGATGGAATATTATGATAAATATCTATGCTAGAATACCTTCTCTCCATTTTAAATGCATAATTTTCACAAAACATTCTTCTTCTCGGGAGATATTGCGCATAAACGAGCACCGTTTCAGGCGTGCAGGACGGACTGATGAAAACTGCACAATATAGCTTGCTGACAAAGAGGGGGGGCGGTAGATAAAAAAAACAGGCTGAGTGAGGATCATGGGAGGTCAAGGGGAAGGACAGGGGTGGGTCAAGTAGCGGGTTTGCACTCTACAAGCAAGGGCGCTCTCCTAATTATAAATACAGATATATTGATAAAAATTAATTACATAAATCTATTCTGAGATACCCCCTAACCA